ATCTAACTAATATACTCCCAATGACCAACTTTTCATCATGATTCCTTCCCCACTAAAACCCCTTGCCTCTATTAACCAGCCTTGTAAACCTAATTTCAAATGACATTGTGGCATTTGTCTTTCTATTCTTAGTTTAGTTCACTTGACATAAGGTCTTCCATCCATATCCCTTGGCAGCATTGCATCCCATTGTATTGTCAGAATAGCATTATATTGTGTCCATGTGCTGTTTGTTTTATCCATTTTTCCATGGATGGCCACTTAAGTTTTATTTCTTGGTTAATGTTGAAATGCTACAATAAACATAGGAGGGCAGATGTCTTCCACACACTGATTTCATTTCCTTAGAAGTGATACCAAGGAGCCACGTGCCGGTGGCTCATGCCTGTAATCCTAGCTACGCAGGACGCTGAGAGCTGAGGATTACAGTTCAAACTCAGCCGGGGCAAGAAAGTCCATGAGACTCATCTCCAATAAACCACCAGAAAACCGGAAGTGGCGCTGTGGCTAAAGCGGTAGAGGGCTTACCTTCAGCTGAAGAGCGCAGGGACAGTGCCCAGGCCCAGAGTTCAAGCCCCATGACCGACAAAAAAAAAAAAGTGATACCAAGGGAAAAGGATATGATACACACACACACACACACACACACACACACACACACACACACACGTGATAGTTTTATGTTTTATATTTGTGGGAATGTACATAGTGTTTCACTCATGTGCATCCCTGTGAGTAGTGGGTACAGGTTCCCTCTCCTCCACCTCCTCTCCAAGGCTTGCCATCCTTTGTCCTTCTGGTGACAATTATTCTAACTGATGAAAGGTGATAGCTCATTCTGTTTCACATCTCTGTGCTTATATGTGACACTGACCATTTTCCCACTACATTTTGGATTTAATTGTGTTTTCTTTTGAGAACAGTAAATTTGGATCTATCATCTATTACCGTTTTAAAAATCAGAGTATTTGCTAATCTTTTTCCATTTCTTCCTCTTCATCCTCCTCCTTCCTCTCCCCCCCACCCCTCCTCACCCTACTCCCCCTCTGCCTCCTCCTTCTCTTCATCTTCTTCTTCCTCCTCCTCCTCCTTCTTCTTCTTCATTGTATTATTATTATTATCTTCATCTTCTGATGAGCGAGGTATTTTCGGACAGTTTATTTTCTCTTTTCAATTTTGGAAAAGATAAAGCAAAACTATCTCTTTTGTTTGCATAATTGCTCTTTCTAAGATTACTACTACTATGACTACTATCCCTACTATGTTGAATAGAAGCGGTAAATGGCATTCTTGTCTCCATCCAGATTTTAAAGAGAAAACTTTGAGTTTAACATCATCCAGTATGTTAGCCATAAGCTTGTTATCTATGGTCATCATTATGTTTCTTCTATAAATAATATTTTTTTATCCTGAAGGAATGTTAAGTTCTATCAAATGATTGTGTATCATTTAAATGATCATGTGTTTTTTGCTATTCCGTTGGTTTTTTCATATTTATTTATTTGCATTTGTTGCATTATCTTTGCATTCATTGGATTCATTTGGTTATGGACAAAAACAATGTTTTGATGTGCTTTAGAAGTCAGTTTGTTAATATTTGCCAAAAGACTTTTCTTAAAAATCTGTATCCATCAGGAATTCCAGTTTAAGGGTAACATTTGTTGAATAGAATGAGTTTGGAAGGATTCTCTTACTCATTTTTTGTGATTGGTTTAAGAATTACCTGTACTCCTAGGACCCTGGGGGCTATACTAGGAACACTGTGAAGTTGAATGTGCAATGCATAGAAGGTTCTAGGCCAGCCTGATTACCAATAAATGCAAGAACATATGTACATATGGTAACTTATCCAGAGTGAATGACAGTGATGCAAATTCTGGTAAAATGGAAACGTGAAGTACATAGAATAGCATAAATTTAATAGCAAGAAAAAAACAAGTATATGACTTAAAATAAGTATATGATATCAAGGGTTAGTATCCATCTCTCAATACTTCTATCATGTAGTATGATGGGATTAAAATACTGTTTAAATAAGCCTCAGAATATACTCTAGAAAAGTGTATCAGATAAAAACATTTTTAATACATTTCATACTCAAAAAATTTTGTGAAGCAAACATTCTAAAATGTTTTCCTTTCACTATCATTATTACTATTATTATTATTCTATCAGTTCATTGCTGAGTTTTATTAATTCCATTTTAATCTTTCATATCCTGACTCATTTTCTTGAATGCTAATCTTTGGATATTAGGTTATTCTTTTGATGTATTTTGTAGAGATATTTTTCTGACTATTTTCATTAACTCTAGAGAACAGACTCTACTTCTTAGTCTTCTTCAGTCTTGTAGTTGCTTTCAATGGATTTAAACTTTAGACTCTCAAGCTGTTTATTTTTGTGTAAGATACACATTTTTGAGATTTATATAGAGGTGGGCATACAGAAAAATTGACCTTTGCCTGGGCATAGGTGGCTCATGCTTGTAACCCTAGCTACTCAGGAGGCTGAGATCTGAGGATCGTGGTTCGAAGCCAGCCCGGGCAGGAAAGGCCTTGAGACTCTCTCCAATAAACCACTAAGAAAACTGGAAGAGGCACTGTGGCTCAAGTGGTAGATTCATAGATTTCCTTTACATCTTGCTTTGAATTTTATTAAAACATAGACCTCCCTTTTTGGGTTTTAATACTTTGTTCTATTTAGACATTTGTTTGCTTTGTATTTTCTTTTTTTTTTTTCCTGTCTGTTTTCATGGGCTAGATTCAAATAAAATTCAAACCTTTATCTGTGAAACTAAAAGTTTTACATTAAGGAGATCTTGGTGTTCTAAAGACTTAGTATTTATATAGATTCCCTTTATTTTTAAGTTGAATTGCTGTGTATACATTGTTATAATTTATAGAAAGTCTTAGGCTTTATTTGGGTACGAGTGGCTCATGCTCATAATCCTAGCTACTTGTGACTCTGATCAGAAGGATCGTGTGTAAAAGCCTATCTGCAATTCACTAGACAAATAAAGCTGGACTTGAGGTGTGCCTCAAGTGGTAGAATGCCAGGCAAGCAAGCAAGCTGAGCAATTTGTGGACTCTGACTTCAGTCCTTGCAATCAACAGCAAAAATGAAATTTCTAATTTTTGTCTCTGTCATATTTAGTAAATATGATTCATTTGAAGAAAATATCCAGATACTATTTAAATAAAAACATGGCATGGAAAGAAAACACATGTAAATATAAACAAAGCTACTACCCTCAGAACAACTTTAGTATACCAAACATAAATGCACTTTATATGTCTTATTGTATTGAAGATACAAAATATTAAAGCCAGTTCTCAAATCTGAATGCAGATCTGTGAAGGGCATTTGGGGCTATATCTATGACACAACACAGCGGCACAAAGTTGTACTCTAAAGTGTAAGGGAAATATGAATTGCATACAGAGAGAGAAGATCCTAACATCGTAGTTTATAACAACATGGAAAATAAATCACAAGCGTTAGCAGTTGCTAATCTGTTTGACAATGACTCAAATTTTTCATGTGAGAAAATGATTTCTGCAGAACTGAGTAGATTTAGGATAGTTGCAAAGAAATTAACAATATTGTCAATGAATATACAACAGAAAGTTAAATGAATCAGAATTCTTTGAGGCTGATGTAAGTTCCCTTGAAGAAGTGGCATGGTGAAGTAAAGGAGAATATGAGGTCTCACTGACAGGGCAGAGGAATGAGGAAAGAAAAGGTGCATGTTGTAAGGTAGTAATGAAGGCTGTCAGAAAATGATTAAAGCATTAGCCTGACAGTTTTGTAATATGCAAAGATAATCATAGAAACCACTTTGTCATTACCACTAATGCACCCACCTTTCTGATTAATAGAAATAAACATTGTGTATTTTCTTCATATGTCTTCTTTGTTAATGACTCTTTTAAAATTTAAAATTATAAATATTTCCTATATCTACTCCTATGAATCTATATTTCAGGTATAAAGGATACTAAGAATGTTTTTTATTATGTTAACAGGAACCGGGTAAAGGCTAATGAGCAATTCTTTCTCAAAGTGCTTCGCTTTGCCTTTTTCTGTGTTGAACATAGATAATGTTAAAAATAAACAACTTTAAAAACTTAGATGAATGATTTCCTTTCATTACTAGATATATACATTTTTTCTTTTTTATAGTCTGTCTACTTTTTGATTGAGTTTTTATCTTATTGAACTGTAGAAGATCTTTACATGTCCTCATTTTTTATTTTTATGGTTATTTTTTGACAAATACCATAGCCCATAGGTTTTTTTTAACCACTTTTTTGTGATGTGTTTCAATAGATAGAAGTTTCACATTTTATTATAGTTGAGATTTTCAATCATTTTCCTTATAGTTTATACTTATTGGTCTCATGTAAGATAACTTATATCATACATATATGTTCCAATTTTTCAATGTGAAAATCTACAGTTACTTTTTTAACATTTAGGTTTTTTTGAATGCTTATTCAAAATGAATTGGCTGTCAATGACAAAGAGAACTGTGTTGCAAAGAGTGCAGATTTTGGTTTGACTCTATTCATTAGTATTTTATTGACATTCTGTGGCAAAGGCACAGTGTTTTTGTGGAGTTCAGCGCCGTACAGTGTGTGATGTGCATCTTATGCAAGGACAAAGCCGCTCTGCATAAGCAAAGCAGTGTAAAGTCCATAACTGAGCAATCACAGAGATGGGATCCTTTGTCATGGAGTCTTTGTTTCTTGTTAGTTCATTCACTGCTGTAGGAACTACAACTATAATGTCAGCCCTGTTCTATTCTTTATTTATTTTTTATTTTTTTAATCCTATATTTACTTAATACCCTTTAGTTGTTTGAAAGACTTGTAGGTCTATGTAGAGATTTTTCCTTATAATTTAGCAACAAGAATAATTTATCTCTGATATTGCTTGCTAAGATGCTTTAGATTTATGGAGTTAAGAACTTGCTTTTAAAGATTGGTTTCTGTTTGCAGAGACGAAATGGAGAAGATATACCTGTGGCCCAGACTAAGAACATCAATCATAGAAGATTTGCTGCTTCCTTTAGATTGCAAGAAGTGACCAAAACCGACCAGGATTTGTATCGCTGCGTAACTCAGTCAGAACGCGGTTCTGGTGTATCCAATTTTGCTCAACTTATTGTGAGAGGTAAAATTGTTTTCACTTCATGAAATTGCATGTGTTTATTAGCACAAAAGCACCTCTGTGGTCATTTTTGATTGATTTTTAAACTGAAGTCATTATGAATAACATATCATTATGAAAGTTTGGATAATGTCTTAAGTTAAAATTAAGACTGTACTTTTATCAATCAAGTTTCTCCAAAGTGATTCTCATCAAAGGCATCTGCTTTACACTGCCCTAAATAGTGTGACACGTATGAAATGCTTTTTTACGTATTGTTATCATTTAGTTTACATTAGCTCTGTTTCTTTTGCTTCAAAAGCATACCTCATATGATACTGCTTTGCCTTCAAAGCATTGTAAGGTCAATGAAACTTCTATTCCATGTAACCTATAAATTATACCAGTATGAAGCCTTAGTATTACAGGTTTATTAATTCTATTATTAGATCTGATTGCAAAAAGTTAGGAATTCTGAGTTTCTCACTAGTATTTGTGTGTGTGTTGAGTGTGTGTGTGTGTGTGTGTGTGTGTGTGTGTGTGTGTGTGCCTGTGTGTGTGTGCCTGTGTCTGTGTCTGTGTCTGTGTCGCTGTTATTATTATGGCTTGAACTCAGGGTCTTGTACTCTTGTGTGGCCTTTTCTGTTTAAGGCTGGTGTTCTATCACTTGAGCCACATCTCTACTTTCAGCTGTTTGCTAGTTAATTGGAAGTAAGAATCTTACAAATTTGTCTGCCCCCGTTTAATTCTAACTCAAATCCCCAGATATCAACCTCCAGAGTAGATGGGATTACAAGTGTCTGTCACTGGCTCCTGGCTTTCTTAGTATTTTTAGAGACTAAAATAATTAAGAGGAATATGACACATTGGACAGATCTTTAGTACATTTTAAAAGAATATGTTCAAGAACGAAACGTACATTTCAATCCTTCAAAAGTTACAATTCTATGGTATATTTTAGCACTGTTCTAGTTTATAGAGCTGTATCTGGAAATAAAATACCAAGCTTCTGTCCACATAGCATTTAATATTTAGGTACTTTAGGGACTTTACTGAAATATAGAAAATGTAGTGTCAAGTCATGCTGTGTTTATTTAAGATTTAGGTTGTTTGGAAAGTGACTTTGAGATGGTGGCAAATGAACTCAAACCTTAAGAAAAAGAATTCAGCAAAATGAGAAACAGCATTGTTGAATCCAATATCAAATATTAACCAGTACTGACAGAAATGAAAATAAAAATAAACTGTAAAATGTCTTTTTGGAGAAGTTTAGCAGCCTCTAAACTGGATTAATTTGTGTTCAAACCACCAGTGAAGACATTTAGTAATGACTTTTTTTAATGTAGAATCTAAAGGTCAGAACATTTCCCAAGTAGGGTATATGGATAAAGAACAAAGGATTAGAGAAAGAGTACATGCCAGTTTCTAGCACTTGGAAGGAAATATGTGCTGTGCCCATCTCATCTTAATTTGCTTAGTAAGGTTTTGAAAACCATTATTAGATCTATATATCTGTATCTATATTTATACCTATATAATCATTTTGATTAGATTTTAATACTTTAATTTTTACTAGTTATATAGAGAATGAAATTGAAATTCAGGCCAAGTGACAATTTGCCCAGAACCATAAAAATTAGTAAATGACGGAGCCAGAATACAAACCCAGGGCTGGGAAGTTGGCTCAGTGGTAGAGCGCTTGTCTTGCATGCATGAGGCCCTGAGGTCGATTCCTCAGCACCACATAGATTCCTCAGCACCACATAAGCAAAAAGAAAGAAGCCGGAAGTGGTGCTGTGGCTCAAGTGGTAGAGCGCTAGCCTTGAGCTGAAGAGCTGAGGGACAGCGCCCAGGCCCAGAGTTCAGGCCCCACGACCAGACCCTTCCCCCCCGCCCCCCAAAAAGAATACAAACCCATGTCTTTGTCTCCTAATAGTTCATTCTTTCCCATCTTAGCATTCTCTCACATTAACAATATTAATTAATACTGTCTTATGTTAGCCTCTTAAAACTTTGGGGGGGAAGCTCAATTTCAAAATGTTTCTATTTGTAGGTTGAATTTCACTCTGTTCTCAATGAACCTTCTTGCATAGTTCCATTGTCAGCTCATATCACCAACATAAATTCTGAAATTTTAGCCCCAATAAATTAAGAAAAATATGAAACTATTTAACCAAAAAGCTCATAGAAACAATTTATTATATGTTCATATATGATAAGTATGTTGTAATCTATGTTGAACTTCAATTTAGAATCTTTCTCAGTGAGCCTAATTTTGAAAGCTGAAATTGAAGCTGCCCACACGGGTAAACCTAGCATGATTAATATGCTTTAGTAGAGGGATATGGTTGTGTTGTTGATTTGTCATCTTCAAGTACCATCTGTGCATTCACTACATTTATCTACAAAGGCAGCATCCTATCAATTGCATTAACTGGTACGGAAGCCAAGTACATTACTTGGTATTGTGTTCAACCACTTGTGCTATGCTGTGGGACCTTGGGTTTGTCTTTTAATTTTGGTTTATGATTTGAAGTAGGGTCTCTCGTTAACTTTTCCTAGGCTCACCTCAAACATATGATCTTCTTGCTTTCACTTGCACATAGCATGAATCATGGCTTGGTGGCATTGTGCCAGTTTAAACTTTTTTGAGGTGACGGTCTATGATGTGTTAATTGAAAAGGTTGCAGAAAGCAGTGTTGGTACTTTTATCCAGGTTACACATTATTCATGTAACTCTATTTTTTGTATGGCTATTTATGTTTATCTTAAGAGAATCCATTTGCCACTATTGGATCTCCCTCTTTTATTTTTGTTTTTATATATTTATTAATTGTTTTGGCAAAGTCAAGATTTATCCAAGAATCCTGTGCCTAGTAGTGAAGTGCTCTGCTAATCAAAGTATCCCACGATTCCTGGATCAATTAACAAATTATGATACATTTTTAACATTTAATTAAAGCCTCATATTTTCTTTATCTGGACACAACTACATTATTTCAATAGTTTTAAATGAGCATCCTTAAATTTCATACCAAGTTTTGATTTTCCTTCTTTTGACTCTTTTTATGAACAAGTCTTACCATATTTCATATGGATTTTATTTTAGAGCTTATAGAGTTTAAACATAAGAGGGATTTGAATGTGTTATCTAGCTAGTCCACAAACATTGTGGACATGTATTTTGAGAATTTTGACAGTTTTATTTCTGACAAACTTTTAGGGTCTATATCTAATATATACAGGTGATACTTTACTTGCTGTTGTATTGAAAACCAATGTAGATAAATAGTTTTTTTTCTTGTTTTTCCAGATAACCCCCAAATAAATAATACTAACAAAAACCAGACCCTTGAGGTGCTGCTGTTCTGGTGTTGAAATGGTTTTGAGACTTAACTGTGGTGACAGATCCTGTCTCTCATTGGCACTTTTAAAATGACATCTTGTTACAGGGATACAAAAGATGGTAATTTTAAGGGAAATTTTTAGGGCATTGATATGAATAGTCTTTAATAAGAGCTGGCATCATGTTGCCTGTTGTCAAAGATGACCCATGGGTAAGAGTTTATTAGTGCATTTTCTCTTAAACTGAAAGTGACAGGGGATGCTTAAGGCTCTTTTTTTTGTTACTGTTTGCTATAAATGAAAATTTTAGTCTAAAACTCTCATGCCGAAGCATATTGATCTTTGTTTTCCCATAGCCACAAGAAGAACAGAAAGGGATGGTGAGACTCGATGTGCTCAGTTGTGTCTTTAGCACTACTTCCAGGTCATTTTGACTAACGATAATACCACAGCTTGTAGAAATTGATCTTTATTGACAAAAAATTTTCTGTACACATGAGATGTAGAACAGACATTTTTGCTCACTGATTCAACAGACTGAAGGGTATACCTTGTGAAAAAATAATATTTGTACACACACACACACACACACACACACACACACACATACACACACATACATATACACACGGAAGAAAAGTGGTGCTTGGTTAGGAATGTGGTTAGTGGTAGAGTGCTTGCCTAGCATACATGAACACCTGGGTTCGATTCCTCAGTACCACATAAACAGAAAAAGGAAGTGATGCATGGTTCAAGTGATCAGAGTGCTAGCCTTGAGCACAGAGAGGCTCAGGGAAAGAGCCCAGGCCCTCAGTTCAAGCCCCAGGACAGGCAAAAAAACGGGGTGGGGGGGGTGAGCAGTGTTTACCCGCTTCACAGGGCAGGTACCAACTCACAGGGCAGGAAGCAATTTCCCTGTCTCCTTATGTTCTTGGTGATATTAATCAACCTCTACTTCTTTTCTTTTTTTTTTTTTTTTTTTTGGTCCAGTTGTGGGGCCTGAACTCTGGGCCTGGGCGCTTATGTGGTTCAGGGGAATCGAACCCAGGGCCTCAGGCATGCAAGGCAAGCGCTGTACCACTGAGCCACCTTCCCAGCCCTCTACTTCATTTTTTGATCTTCTTTTTCCACCTGTCTAAATCAAAGATCTATTTATACTTCCAATCAACTGATCCACAATAAGTTTCTTAAAAATTCTCTAATTTTTACAACTGACAGTTTCTATTCTGGATTGCTGTATGGTTATTTGAACCATTTTACCTTGGAAATTTTAATGATCTTTTAACATGCTTAATTGGATGTAGTTTTTTGTTTTCTTTTGATTATTACCAATGCTTTGATTATTGAATTTTACTGGCAACTATTAACCATTATCAAAATGCTCTAAATATGAAAAGTATTCATTCATGTGTTATATTTATCTAGTCATAGTGAATAACAGTGATCCCTAACTTTAGATTGGGATGGATGTCAATTCATTTCAAACTTATTCAAGTAGTTACCCAACTTTTTTCAGTATTAGTACTTCAAATGATAAGAAATCCTGATTATTATAATCAAGAACGTACAAGTCAGCTTAAAATATGTTTTTGTTTATTGGCTTTTGTAACAGGCAGGGATATTTTTCAGAGTTCTTTGTAGTTCTTTGCTCTGTAGTAAATGATTTTGGACCTTCATAC